CACAAGCAAGTCAGAAAATGACAAACTCATCGAGACATCAAAGAATGGTAAGAAGGTCATATAATAGTAATCTGTAAATCTAAAGATTCCCTGTGTAATTCAAAGAGTAACTAATCAGGGTGGGTAATTTAAACTGTTCTTTAAAGCTTTGGTGTAGATTATTTGAGTTAAAGTGGTAGGAAACTGATGGCTCTAAAACAGAAAACTGTATGACTGCTAAAGCTTGAAGGTAACCTTCCATGTGTATAGCAGGATTCACATGCATCAGGAGCTTGTATTTGAAGGCATGTAGTGATTAACCTGTAGAAATTTATACCTGGTAACATCTATTTCTGGTTTTTCAAAATCTAAGTGTAACAGAGGAAAGGTCTATGTCTCTGCTGACTTGTCTCAGTTCTGCACTTTTGCTGTATATATTCAGGTAGTGCTGAAGATAAGATTTTTAAATACTTCATTACACTAGAACTGTGCTTGTCGATTTGCTAACTTGGGAAGTTTAGACCTTGCTGTTGGGGAAGATGGATGCCTGCACTGATAAGGGGAAAGCTACCCAGGTGGGCAGGTGTAATTTGCTTAATAAAGCTTGTTCAGTGCTTCAGGCTGGGGAGTAGAAAGCACTTTCAAGTCATTCTTTGCATGGGGTTTACAAATACATATCAGTACAGCATAAGAGTAAGGCTGTGTAACTGTCAAAAGCTTGCTTCCTTCTGTTCTTCCAGTTACTAAAAGGGGGCAGCAATGCATGCTGTATTCTGAAATGATTTTGCAGCATTCTTATCCCATACAGCATCTATGACAGAATAACTTTATTGTACTTTTTGTTGTTTCTGCTAACTGTAGTTCTGTGTCAAGACTAATAGGAATTGTTTTGTAACAGTTGAAAGTAGTCTGAGTACTACAGTAAAGCCCACAGACCTTTCAAGGCTGGCTTCAAGGTCAGCTGATGACAGCACAGAGGATAATGGACAGCTGAGACATCTGTCCTTACCAGGAATTTCCAGCATTGAAGGTATGTCCTTTCTAGGCTGACCTTTCCTTTTTCTGTATATTTCATGTTAATGTTCATGAGGTTATAACTGTAACTGGAATGATGGTAGTGTAGCTGGGCATTAGTGTTAATGTTCACGAGGTTATAACTGGAATGATGGTAGTGTATCTGGCCATTCAGGGAGAAGTGAGGTCAATTTTAAAAGCTTGAGAATAGGGTCTTTAAAAAGTAATTAAAACCAAACAAGACCAAACCTAAAAGGAAAATAATAGTATGTAGAAGAAAATAATCTGGGTTTTAATCAAGAATGTGCATTAAAAGTGGATTATAATTGTTTTGAGTGACAAAGCGTTATACCAAGTGCCTCAGAGACTGGGAATGAAGTCAAGGGCAAGGTTAGGATGCTGAAGGAAAATTAAGTAGATATGTGTATGTTTGATGGTTTTTTTTTTTCCCCTCTGTTTTTTTTTAAGAGAACACTTCCTGGGCAAATAAATGGTTTCTGGATCTTGCTGCTCAGGCTCTTCGGCTACTGAAAGGGCAATGTTTTGAACTGGGAAATGAGTAGACAGTTTTCCCTTTATACCATCTGTGCTGTTGGTATAGCAACAGTCATTTGAAGCTTGCTTTTGTGGAGGATAACTGTAGCTGTCTGCAGTTAGTGGTTGTAGAATGGGCTATTAGTCATGGCCAGAAATAGGGATTACCTTTTCATGGATTTAGTATAATTTAATCCAGAAATGTTTGTGCTTTTTTTCTCCTAAACTGTTATTGGTAGCTTGTGACAACGCAGATAGCGAGCTCCATACCTGGAGGTGCTTTATTTCATTACTAGGTAGTAAAGAAACAGTGCAGTTAAAACTGGAAGAGCAGCTTATAGGATATTCCTCTGTACTTAAAGGAGCTACTTTTCAATCCCTGCTCTCTTTGCAGATCTTCAGAATTTCTTTGAAAAAGCAACCCAAGATGCTGATGGAAAACTGTCACATGAAGATCTTCAAAAGCTGCTTGGCTCAACAGCTCAAGAGTCACAGAGCTTTAAGCAATTTGACACAGATGGAGATGAGAAATACTCACTACAAGAACTGAGATTAGCATTAGGTGTCTAAGATGCATATTTAGAAATGTGATACTGATGGATGCTACTGTAGCTAAAGGAAACTACGGGACATGAAAAACTACATCTGCACTTTCCCAGTGTTTTACTGATCTTTGGAGCTAAGTTACTGTACACATTGCACTTCTTTTTTCATTTGCATTTATTGAAGAATAAACCATACAAATTTATATGTCAATAGGACATAATATTGGGACTGTGTTAAAATCCAGAAAATTCCCAAACTTGGAAACATTTTCCTCTCATTCTTTCCTTTTCAAGGGAGTTCTTGTTTTTAATTGAAAATGTGTACATACTAAAATAAAACTATGGTTTTATAGTTCACTGAAATTTGCCTTAAATTAGAGAGCTGCACTTTATGTAGAGCAGAGGGAAAGCTGTCTTGTAAAGATGGGCTGCTTCTGCTTGTAAATATTTGAGACAGAGTAAATTATGCATATTTAAGGAGAAGTTTGTGTCAGGGGCTGTGTTGGTAGCAAGCTGTTTATAATGAGACTGAGCCTAAAAGTGGTGGTTAAGAGCTTCAGATAAATTTCTGATTTTGACCAAGTGCATCCATGAATGAGTTTAGACTCAGTCAGAGGAAAGCAGGAGTAGTAAATCATGCCCATCTCTAGCAGGATTTATTTTAAGAGGGAAGAGTTGAAAGTGTTTTTATGTCATGAGCCTACAGGAGCAAATTACCAAGTGCTTGGGTTTTCACTTTAGCATTCTTTTTGCTTTGCTGTATTGCATCCAGATTACATTTTGTGAGATAAGCTTATCTGTTCTATTTTTTAAGAAAACGAATAACAGATGCTTAAGAGGTAAAAGTCTGCAATGCAGCCTGGTGAGTAGCACCTGGATAATTCATGCCTCAGGTGTGATCAGCAGTGTGCTGATGGTCTTGCTAACTGGTTACTGGAGATCTTTGGAACATGGTTGCTGATGCTGCTGGCTTCTTCCATGAACTGTTGTTTGGGTCACTATGGTGAAGTGTCCTGAGCAAAGCTTCTGGTCACTAGGAGTGAGCAGGTGGGGAAGGCCCAAGGGTAGACTTGTGGGCTGTTTCCTGACTGATGTGAACGTGATCACTTTATACCTTTACCTTTTGTGCTTTTGCCAACAAAAGGATGTAAAATGCAAGATAGGGGTGTGCAGTGGCATCTGTGTTTTCTCCTGATGCATCTTTGTGAGGTTTCCTTACAATAGAGGAAGTGCAGGGTTTGTTTATACTAGTGAACCTTCTGGAACATAGAAAATGACTTCTGCAGAAGGGATTCTCTTGCAGGTGAGACTATGGCCAAGTTGGATGATTTTGCTCACAAGCAGCACTGATGCTGTTGGAAGTTTCTTGCATGATTAGTGACCTCAAGTTGCCCACCTCGCTAAGACATCAGTTTATGTGGAAGTTAGTTTGTAACTGTTGACTTTTACAAAACCTTAGACTGGATGTTTTATGAATAACTGTATTCTGGAAGTATGAATCAGTGAAGGAATGTACAAACCAGAACCCTGTTACCTGTTGCCTAGGCTTCTTTCACTGTTGCTCTCTTCTATCCTGTTTGGGTAATGCAGACGTGACCCAGTACAGAAATGCTTTTGATGTGACGTTTGCAAACACAGTATTTAAAAATGAAACAAAACCAACCAACCTTGGCTTTTGAGAGGACAAGAAGCTGATACTTGCTTCTTGCTGCTTCCCATACCCTTTTATACGCTTCTGTATAATTCCTTAACCAAATAAAAAAAAAACCCTAGCAATAAAATGTAACCATTCTGGTATTTTATTTGTACATACTGTATCATAGCCATATGCCAGAGTTTGCAAAATATTTTTGGAAGTTTGATTTGTATGGAATTTAACTTACCTTAAAATTTAAGGGATTATTGTAGTGCCATGTGAATCTCTTAGTATTTTGTTTTGTTGCAGTCTGCTTTACTTTTAGAAGGCTCTTCAACAGCAGCAGTGAAAAACCATCAGCTAGAGACAGCGTGTGCTGCTCCAGCCACACATGTCCTCAGCCTGTGGCCAGGGAGTGAAGCTGGTCAGTCACTAGCAGTGGGGCGCAGCTGTCCAGTGGTGCTGCTTAACTTGCATGTCAAGGGCACAGTCAATTGCTAATTGCTATACTTGCTGCTGTTGTAGGATGGAATTGTGCTATCAATTCAACATCATCCCCACGTATAGTGGTTGCTTGTTTGGCCTAGGGTAACCAGTCGTCGTGTGCTGCAGGCTGGGAGCTCTGGTCCCCAGCCAGCAAGCTTTCTGCTATGCCACCGGTCTCCATCCTACATGCTTTCCAGAGCCCTTATGCTGCATGTTGGCAGGCTTCCTCCTGTGTTTTATTCATGCTGCAGATGGTAGAGGGCATAAAAGCCATGGGTGTAGTAAATACACTTGTCCGGATCTGCTCCCTGCTGCAGCTCATGCCTGTGGAGCACGGCTTTCCAATGAGGTGGTTGGAAGCTTCAGATGGTGCGCCCTAGAGAAATAAGTGATGTCTGAAATGAAAAGACATGAAATGGTGAGAGGGACAAGTCCAGGCTGTAGCGGGAATGGAGCGATGCGCTGCCGAGACTTGCTGTTATCTTGCTGTTATGCTGTGATTCTTAGGTTCGTTTTCAGGCTGTATTTGCGTTTGTTCGGATGACTCCCGTGTAGGAACCACCCTACACTACACCTACTGTGTATCTTTCAGTTCAGTTACTGACCTTTACATGCAGCGAAACCGCACCGTGCTCGTCGTGCATCGCGCTTCTGAGCTGGGTTTGCGCTATGGCACTCCGCGCTGGTTTTGTATCATGTAACGTCGCTTTTAGTGTCTCGAAATAAAAGTTCCTTTCCAGAGCGCGTCTCCGGCCTCTTCACTGCGGGGCGGAGCGCTGAGGGGGCCGGGCGGAGCGCTGAGGGGGCCGGGCGGAGCGCTGAGGGGCCGGCCGCCATGGCGGGCCCGCTGCTGCAAGGCTATGGGCTGGCGGCAGCCTTGCGGAGCCGCGCTGCTCTCCGCCCGCTGGGGTTGCTGGTCCCCCCGAGCCGCGGGGTGGCCGACCTGGGGCCGGGGCACGGGGAGGCGGCGCTGGAGGAGAACCCCTTCTACGGGAAGTACCGACATAAGATCCAGGAGCTGCGGAGGTGCGGGCGGGCCTGAGGACATGGCTGCGGATGGGCCTGAGGGGAGGGAAGGGCAGCAGGGAGGCCGAGGCGGAGGGGCTCATTTCTGGGAATAGGGTGCTGGGGGAGGTGGGATTTTGGGAAGGAAGGAAGGAAGTAATTTTTAGCTTTGTGGCCAATGAGAAAATTAACTAGTTAGGCCAAATGCTGCCTTGAAGGAGGGTGAGGCTTTGAGCAACCTGGTCTAGTCGAAGGTGTCCCTGCCCATGGCAGGGGGTTGGAACTGGATGAGCTTTAAGGTCCCTTCCAAGCCAAACCATGCTGCGATTGTATGTAGTTGTCACCAAGTTGGTGAGAGTTGTCTCTCAGCGTGGTGTTCAGCTCTGGGGCCTGCAACACAAGAGGTATGTGGACCTGCTTGAATGAGTCCAGAGGAGGCCACAAAGGTGCTGTGGGGGCTGGAGCACCTCTGCTATGGAGCCAGGCTGAGAGAGCTGGGCTGGGTCAGCCTGAAGAGAAGGCTACAGGGATACCTTAGAGCAGCTTCCAGTGCCTAAAGAGGGACTATGAGAAATCTGGAGAGGGGCCTCTTACAAGGGCCTGTAGGGACAGGACATGGGGGAATGGCTTTAACCTGACAGAAGGGAGATTCAGATCAGATACTGGATAAAAATACACTGCGAGGGTGCTGAGGTGCTGGCACAGGATGCCCAGAGAAGCTGTGGCTGCCCCATCCCTGGCAGTGTTCAAGGCCAGGTTGGACAGGGCTTGGAGCAACCTGGTCTAGTGGAAGGTGTCCCTGCCCATGGCAGGGGGTTGGAACTGGGTGAGCTTTGAGGTCCCTTCCAACCCAAACCAGTCTGGGATTCTGTGGCCAGTTGGTAAGAGAGTTTCAATAACAAGAAATTAAAAATGTAAGTTACAACATTTACAGCATGAATCACTGCCACAGTAAACATTTTAAAAAGCCAAAGGATGTTCATCACCCAGTACTTTTAACAGTCCCTTTTCCAATTCAGATCCAGTCCAGATGTGTTTGAATCCCGTATGGAAAAAAGAACTGAAGTGAAAAAGCAGCCTGTGGGATACTCCAATCAGGGAGAATTTATCAGATGCATGGAGGAAAAGGTAAGGCCATCTTTCTTTGTAATTCACATGTATTAAAGCTATAATGCCATGTCTATAGGATTAGCATAATGCTGTGAACATAAAGTGTTCCCATTAGTAAGGAGCTCCAGAATGTCACTCTCTGATGGCTAGAAGTATTGTTCTCTACTCCAGTGTTTAATTTTTCTGGGTTTTAGACTAATTTCTGTGCTTGAAGCCTTGTTTAAGTTGCTTAATTAGTTCCAGATTAGTTTAGCCAAATGGAGGGACATGATCTTGCATATATCATTTTTTAGGGAATGTAAGAAAACTGTTCAGTAATACCGGATCCAAAGTGCATAATAGTTTGCTTTAAATTAATCCTTTCTGGCCTTTAAATTAATAATTCATTAGGTTACTCATCTTTCTTCTAATTAATAATTTTATTCAAAATGCACTGCAGTGAACTTCAAGTATCTTAAACTTGAGCTCTTACTCAGAGATTTTTGTCATCAGGCATGTTATGCATGGCAGGCAAGGAAAATAAATGGTATTAAAGCATCAGCTATAAAAACTAAAGAATGTTTTCTTCTAGGCAAAAGGCTTGGGCTCAAAGACATCTAAGGGTGGATTCACAAAAGACAAGGTAAGGGAAACAAACCTTCATGTTAGGAGAGGACATGCTGATAAATTAAGGATGTAGATGTATTGCTACCATCAGTGCTTCAGCCAAGAGCTTCTTGACATAAAACTGATCTTCCTTATGCTGCAATTGATTATAAGATTTTAATTTACGGTTGGGATTGTGTTTGATCTTGAAACTCCTGGCACTTTGCGTTTTTAGTATCCTGTCATTTCTCTCTGACACCCTGGAAGCTCCTGCTCCTGAGAGAATCTGTACTGAATGCTCACAGCAATAAACAGCAAGGGTTAAGCTGCCTGTACAACGTATAAATAGATTTCCAGAGATTAGCCAGCAGAGGGACAAGAGGCTGGTTTTACTCTCTTCCACATTTCTTGTATTTTGGCAAACTTACTGTGTAAATATGTCTTGAGATGGCTGAAGGTGAAAGGCTGCAGCTCCTCTTGCAGCTTTCTGCACAGCTGGAGCAGCGTGTTCTGTGTCCTGAAAGTATGTCTTCTATTTTGACTCAGTGTGTGATTCCACTTCTCAGTGTGCTACTGCTTATAATTTACTGGTTTCTTTGGCAATTAAGAAGGCTAAGTCACACTGTAAACTGAATGAAGCTATTCTAGCTTGAGTATGTTCTCTAATTGCATCCATTCATTCTGGATTCTCACTTCGATCGGAGAACTGCCATCATGCCGGATTCCTTATGCCTTCTCTTACAGACACTTGATTCAATTCTGAATGTTGAGATGGTGAAAGAAAAGTCAGCGGAGGAGATAAAACAGGTGATGGATTTAAATGGAATGTGCTTAATAGTAATCTGCATATGAGAATGGAATTTTACTCAGCCATGTTTTATTTTTCAGTCTACAGATGAAATATTTATTAAAAGCACATTGACATGCATATTAGTAGTAGAAAATAAAATTTTTTCCATATATGTAAGTCCACCTAGGATGTAGCTTGGTACATCTGGACTTGATTTCTCAGAAACTGACTCTACTGTAATTCTTATTGTTGCCATTTAGTGTGTAGTAGTTGAATTGGCGTTAGCAAGCTCTGGTCAGGTTTGAAGCCCAGTAAAGGGAAAACTTAGCAGTAGTTCGTATGGATTATACTACATCTGTTCTACAGAAATAAAATCAAAGCTTTTGCCACCTTGTACCTTTCTTTGCATTGTATCTCATTTAGGAGCCTGTGTACTGAAGTTGGTTAGGGTGAGAAGGAGGTGGATGGGTCTGTTTCTTTGAAAAACAGTGTGAAGTGAATTATTCTTCCTGTTATCTGCTTGGCTTTGCACTGTATTCCCTTTTATCTAGTTATAAGTCACATCTGTTGCACATTTCTGATGTAGCTTGAGTTGGATCGATACTTTTTTTCCTTATCAGTCTGTATGCCAAGAAACTATGTAGGCACGATCATTTGAAGGAAAGCAGCCTTCTGGCACAGCCTGGAGAGCAGAAACCTAGCGGCTTTCCTGATAGCTTGAGAACATTATAGAAGTAGTTACATGCTCTGCAGGGATGGTGTGCAACCAGTTATAGCAGGGAGTGGTTTGATAACTCATGAGTTCCTTTTGAATTCCTCTACTTCTGTTTCGTTGATTAAACATTTTACGGACAATTCTCATTAATTCTGTAGGACTGGGGAAGAGCAACTGAAAAAGTCCTGAACTCTGGGCTTTTTTTTACCTGTGCTTGTCCATTTATTAAAGACTCTGAGCTTTTATGTAGGTAGTGCTATCCTGCTGTGATGAAGAAAAAGGTTGTGAACATGGGGAAGTGTTATGCAAAGACTTGTCTTCTCTTAAATGTTACACTTAGAAGTGTATTGTGTTAGCAGGAAAGTCAGTCAGGTTTGAAAAATGACTTCTTGAAGTGCTTACAAAGGTTAGTTGACAAAGGAAATTTCTTTTAAAGCATTTAGTATTACTGCTTTTAACTGTTATTATTTTAATTTAATATTGATGATCATAACTGTACACCATCTCCTCTGTTTCCTGCAGATTTGGAATCAGTATTTTTCTGCAAAAGATACGGTTTATGCTGTTATTCCTGTAAGTAGTTCCTCTGTAGTTATGCATTTGAAAGGCCAGTATGCAAAGCTTTCTTTTCTAATTGTGATTCTGTTGCTTTTAAAAGCAGTCATTGAAGGAAAATGAGGTTACAAGAACAAATTTTCTTTCCAGATTCAGTGGTCTTACTGTCCCAAATGAAGGCTAAAGGCTTTTTTTCCCCACACCAAAAACGTGTACTCCTTTTTTTCCTCGCTTACATCAGTCTCAGTAAAGCCAGTACCTTTTTCTGCACATCTGGCTTGAATTTCCAGGCACATTTTATTATGAGTATCCAATACTCTTTGCAGGGCCCTGGTATCTGTTAAGGTAGCATTTATATTTTCACATCATTTTTTCTAAGTGTTGCTTATTTCTTTCTTGTCTTCCCTGCAGCCTGAACAGCAAACTCCAGTTGAATAGGGCAGTACTAGAGCACTTGGCTAATGATTTGCACGTGGCTAATCACTTATGACTTACCTTCATACATTTAAAATTATTGGCAGTGCTGTCTTTCACTGAGATTGCATGGTGCTTCCTGTGATAAGATCTTACTTCTTATTCCTGATGACTTTCCCAGATGTTAATTGTTGTTAATCTGCATTAGGCTGAAGGAGGTTTTTTTCACTTTGGGGATTTCTTTCCATTCCTTGCTTCAAAGTCTCTATGTGATTGTGATCTCTTAAATCTGTCTTTTCACATCTGGGCACAAACTGTATGTTCCTTGAGTTCTTGAAACCTCATTTAGATCTGGGGTCTGATTTGCAATTGTATTTGGCCTTTTGAGCTGCAACTGAAGTTGGTGGGAGGCTGTATCCTAGATGTATGAAGTGTTGCACGCCCTTGATATGGCAACATGGGATTTGAAGTTGAGCGGCTTCATGTTTCAGTTTTCCCAACATGTGGATCTTGTGAAAACAGTTTGAATCACACATTTACTATAGCAGAAGGCCAAAGCCGGGGACTCCAGTTAAGACGGTGTAGATCTTTCATTAGTGGGGCTGGCACTGTTCTTTGGTGCACTGCTTTAGAGGAGCTTTGGAAGCTTTTTAAGGCTTTAATGCAAACCAGGTCCTAGGCACATTAGGAGGTAGTTCATGGTGTCATCTGGCGGGGGGAAAATCTCTGTATCTTTTGCCAAAAGCTTTTTGTTGGCTGGAAGAAAGGCCTTGCCTAATTCTTGAGTGCTCAAAAGCACGCATGGGGGAATTTCATGTTTGATGGATATCATGTGTTTTCTTTCCTGAACACCTTAGACTATTAATGTGCTGTGCTGGGAAGAAAAGTGCAGACAAAAGGTTTGGGGGAATGTAGAGAACATGTGAATGACATTACCAGGTTTCATCAGGGATGACCAAATGTATTTGTGGCTTTAATATAAACCTAAGCAATAAGTATGTTACTTGAGTAAATATCTAGGCTGCATTTTGATACTGAAGAATAGATGACTGTGATGTAAAATGCACAATTTGAGGCCAGGGATATGTCGCCCTGCTCAACTGTTGACACCACAAAATGCGGTGGACCTATTACTCAAAGAGGACATAATGTAAGTCTGAAGTGTGGGCCCCCCACCTCCAAGGAATAAAGCTTTGGATCCAGAAAGGAGTTTGCTGCTGTATCTTGGAGACAGCATTGTTAAAACGGGATACCAATGACATTTGGGTAACTAAGAACTAAATGCAGTTTTCCGTGCACTCATTGTTAGCTGCTCCCGCAGTGAGACCTTCTGTAGATGGAAGTTGTACCCTATAAAGGTTAATGAGATGATTCTGAATTATTGACTTTCTCTTTCTCCTTCTCCAAAGGCAGAAAAGTTTGATTTAATATGGGAGAGAGCCCAGAAATGTCCATCGGTACGTATGGAAGATACTCACAGCGTGTGGATGTAGAGCTGTAATGCAGTTCTCCTCTCTAAAGCTTAATTCATAAACCTTTGACCCTCCTCTATTCAGACTCATTGTATCAGCTCAGTAAGTAAAATCCAAGTGTTCATACACTCATCTTAGTGTTCAGATAAAAGCAATGGCTATTTATATGTATTAAACAGTTTGATCTAGCGATCAGATAACTAGAGATGAGAGATGTAGGGTTCAGAAAACAAGCGCAGAATCTCCCAGGGAATGGATTTAGCTACAAGCCATTGTTTTCCATGAATTGATGTCTTGTGGTTGTCTCTTTCATGCAGTGCTATGAAGAGCCAGGCTTTTTAGGCCAGCTTCACTGATATTCCCACATATCTTTTCTTATTGCTCAAAGCACACTTGCTTTAACCCAGAGGAACTGTTGTTGGCTGTAACTGTGAGTCACCATGGCATCACATTGTGTGTGTGTGGGGAAAGGGAGTTCTCTTGTCTTAATGGCTGCTGTGAGTTGCTCCTCTATATGTTTCTTTTCTGGCAGTGGAGATAATAGGCAGGAGTATCTGAAAGAGAAAAAGACAAGAAATCAACATGTTGGGGTTTTGTCCAAATAAGAGCTGAACCTTGTCATCTGTTAGCCTGCTTTTTTGTCAAATATGCATAGCCATGCTTTCTTCACCATGCTGTTGATCTGTGATAGATAAATACTGGTAAGCTAATAAGAGTCATTTGCATGGAAACCATCCTGGGCAGGCACCTTGCTGTGTCAGTGATGTGTCTGTTTCCAAGGGAGAGTGAGTTGTCAAAAAAGCCTATGTGTAAGCTCTGTTGCACAGCATTGTAATTCAGCAGCTGCGATGGAAAGAAAGTGGGAATTAGGTGTAGCCGAACCCTTTATTAAGGTTCGTAAAGTACTCTGTGGGTTATGTCTTAGGTGTATGCCAGCATGGCAAAGCATAAAATACTGAGAATGCATAACAGGTTTATTTCAGAAATGAGTGGATTCCCAAGATTTGGATTCACTGTTTCTCATGTGGGTTGGTGGATATATTATAAGATTCCTTTGTGAACGAGTATGTTGTTGCTTTGAAGAAGTTAAGCTACAAAAGAGCAGAACTAACAAGCTAAAGGATATCTTTTGTTTGTGCTGCTGGATTAGCATTGTTTTCAGTTGAAAGTAAGTTTTTACAGTAACTTGTGCACTGAAGCATTGCCTTTGTGCAAATTTTGCTGTGCTGACACAGAAATCAAATGCTTCATTTCCTTGTGAAAACAAAGTACCTAGACTTCACTGTGTTAGGAGGAGTGCTTTTGCAGATCTGAATGGGAGAGTTTACTGGATAGGTGGATTGGTCCTGTATATTCCACTTGCCAAGAGCAAGATCAGCCATATCCGGCTTCCCGAGGTACTTGGAACTTGGAAAGCTATTTATAGCTTTAAGTACATTTATGTACAGTGCATTGGCATTTAGTCAGGTATCCTGTATGTTTTTCTCCTCTTGTGTTGTTCTTCCCCTTGGTGTGGGAAAATGAGCAAGTCTCTAACCTATGGAGCTTAATAGATTGTAAATCTCTAGAGAGAAAATGCTTGCTGCCTGTTCTGAAACAGTTGGTGAAATTACAGGATTACATACTCTGAATGCTCCTTATGTCATATTTTATCATTCTCTGTTAATTCCGTAGAAGTGAACAGAAAAGTCAGAGTCTGAATGTTCTCCACTGTCCTGTCCTTTCCTTTCCCTGTCTCATAGAACACTGATAAAAATATATGCCAACATATTTGCTAATGTAATAATGCTGATAAGGTAATGCTGGTTTATTGTCTGGTTCCTGCTGCCCTATCATTCCTGGTGGGGCAAGGAAACCCCTTTATCTGTTATGGTTCTCTTTCCAGAGCATTTACGCTGGAGGCCAGTATTACATGGGCACCGTTTTGTTCTATGAAAGGCTTTGTTTGAATTGGTTTTACTAATTTTTTAATAATTTCTCTGCAGTTTCTATATGCTTTGCCAAGAAAAGAAGGCTACGAGTTCTTTGTGGGGCAGTGGTCAGGAACAGAATTGCACTTCACTTCCCTAATAAACGTTCAGGTGAGTGGTTGAAATACAAAGTCCAAAAATGGCTTAGGATCCAGCAATACATACTACCAACATATTACAATATCTAATACTTGCTAAACAGTTTAATGAACAGGTTGTCTAGCTTAACTTGAAAAGAATTATCAATGAAAAACTGACATTAATTATGGGTAACTTAATTAAGGGTAAATTAGTACGTTTATGGGTATCAAGTGTCTCTCTAAAAGGAGGATGAGGTAGAAGTCACATAGTCTCAAAATAGAAGCACAAGCCAAACTCTTCAGAACTGTTTGTGCAAGCTGTTTACATTACCAGTCGATGCTATAAGATGAAATGTCATCCTGGAAATTGTGGGTTCTTTTAAATGCAAAATAGTCTTTAGTCATGAAGAAAACCCAGCCTAACTCTGCAAATCCCTTGTTTTCTGTAAATGCCAGGAATAATAAAGTTTTAATTAGAACTGACCCTTAAGCCCTGAAAGATGACTGCCTCCATAGCAGTTAATACTCAAAAGTTTTGTAATAAAGCCTCCAGATCTACAGTAGAGCTAAAGTTCTTCATGGGATGCTGATGGGTTTCTTTATCTCCTTCAGACCCAAGGTGAAACTGCCCCTAGCCAGTTGGTCCTGTACCATTTTCCTGATCTACAGAAGGAAAAAGGGATAGTTCTAATGACAGCAGAAATGGACTCCAAGTTCTTGGTAAGAGAAATCTGCTCACTGTCTTCCTTCATTTTATGCTGCAACTCCTCGTACAGGTTTGAATTAAAGCCAAATTGAAATGAAGTCTTTAAAAGACCCTTTCCCAAAGAATAGTCTTACAAGATTCCTTTAACCTAATCTACTTAGTACTAGGGAAAGCTAGAAGGGAGTCACCAGTCTTTGTCTCTCTGGTGATTTCAGCTCATGCATTCTTTTGTTTTGTTTGTTACTTTTGTTTTTTTCTTATTAATAAAAGCAAATTGAAGTGAAATGTGTTGCTACCTGCCAACAAGTTAAAAAACTGTTTTGAATACTGCTTGTCAAATCAGGAGACCTCCAGTGCTTCTTGTTTCCATGCACCTTTGCTCTTTTTTCTATGTGTGGGTGTGCTGTTACTTGCATATCTGCAGTAGTACAGTGCTAGGACTAATTGTACCAGGGATTGAACTGGTGGAACAAGATAACTAAAGCATCCCATCTCTAACTGACCTACTTACACCAGTTCTGAAGCAGTGTGCAGAGGAGTGTGCAGAGAACTCATTGGTGATGCATTTGCCCCGTTGTGTCTCTTGAGTAAACAATCAATTTTTGCAAATAGGTCAACCATAAGAAGGGAAAGATGAGACTTTGGTGCATATCCAGTGTCTTAGAGCTTGCAGGGATCATGAAAGATGTATTTGACCTCTGAGGTGTATGCTCAGCAGGAAGGCAGTTTAAATGCACGGTGCTAAAGCATGTAAGTAGGTCAGGAACAAGAGGGAGGTGGTTTAAGAGATTTGCTATATTAAGGTGGCTTGGCATTGAGTCGCTCAGTGAGCAGGACTGCAGCTGCTGAAGAGTCTTTTTCAGCGGGATACTCAAACACAAGCCCTGATGGTAACACAAACTCTTTGTTTTAACTCGCAGGTGGTGCATGAAGCACAGTGCTTGGCGAATCAGGTGCAGCTTTTCTATGCAACAGATCGTTCCGAGACCTATGAACTAGTGGAGACCTTCAACCACAGATCTAGTGAATTTAAATATATGTCAGTTATAGCAGAGCTTGAGCAAAGCGGGCTTGGAAGAGAACTGAGACCTGGTCAGATTTCTGACAAGTCACAGAGCTGACCTGCAGGTGAAGTGAGCCAGCAGCAGTGAGGGTTTCCTACATGGGGTGGTGCTGTGTCTTTTGGTTTACAGATTTGGTTTGGATACAGAAAGGATCTGGAGACATCCTGGGAGTGTCAAGCCTGTCTTGCACTCATGCAAGATGAGGACTTGGGCCATATGAACAACCATAATTGCCAAAATGGAGCCCTGGAACTTCATTAGAACAAGCCATTTTCCCATCCTCTGACTTACTGCTGCATGCTGTATTTTTGAAATCTGAAGTGACAGAAGAGAAGCTCTGTAACGGACTGCACTGACATCAGGAGAGACCCAAAAACCAATGTTTCTGCTCAGTAAATGCATTTAAATGCCCTCTGCCATTATAATTGCATGGTCCAGTGCTTTTTAATCTGTGTGGAATTTATACAGGCTTGTCCATCAAGAAAAGAGAGTAGGGCTGACGGTCTCAAACAAATGCCTCTTTGTTACTTTGTGAGGTTCCTTACACAGATGTGTACTGTGGCCTGTGTTTTTCTCAGGATTGAAAAATAGAGTGACTAGATTTGTTCTGGGAATTTTGTGCTTATTTGATACATTCATTTCATCCTGTTGCTGTGTTTCTATCTTAGAGATGTTTTTCTTGAGGTGCAGGATGTGATGTACATGGTTTTATTCTTCTATTCAAAGAATAAAAACTATTAAAACCTATATTTTTTAATAGTGTGGAGGAATGATGGCCTGTTTTATAGAATTAACTTTATGCAGACTGGCATCTAGTCAGCCAATGGTATTTGAAGGGACAGAAACCAGCACTTGTTCCCATTTCAGGAAAGGCACTATCCGTATTAAAAGCAAGATGGACTGGCATAGTAGCAGAGAGTGAGCCACTCACCAGCTTCTCAAATGCTAAGTGACAGCTCATGGAAAAGATGTATAGGTGTGCATAAAATGAATGTGCATAGCTGCTGTAACATGGCAGAGTTGTTGGTAAGGTTCTGGCTTTACAGACTGCAGTAGGTTTGACTTTTCAAACCTGCCTTCAGCAAAAGGATCCCAAAACATTCATGCTTGAACTTCTCTTGTTTTCATTCCCAGCAGGGGCAGCCAGTGCAGCTGGGCAAGGGTGTACTGAGCAGTGTGACATGCAACCTGTGCCTGGATTACCAGCACACCACCACTGAGCAGGCAGGCAGCAGAGGACAGCCAGGAGCAACACTACAATATTTCCCATGTCCACATCAAATCCCTGCCATTAACTTGCCCTTAGCACTAATTACCCATTATGTCCAGGCCATGTTGTGCCTTCCCATCAGCCTGCTGAAGCTGGCAGGCATTCCCTCCCGTGCCAGAGGAATGAAGGCAAGAAGGGTACACAGCTTGTCTCTGGGTTACAGGAAGACAGTTTTTGGGGCAGGGCTGGTATCAGATATTTTGTGCTACCCTTAACCATGACCTGATAGGGAGGTTTGATTAGTTACAAGGGGCTCTGACAATCTGTTTGCCAGTGGAATTGTAGGACCCTGCTGCTGTTAATACTGTTGCTCCATGCTGTCTCAGCCCATTCGTTGGACATGAACATCGTTTAGCCAAGTACTAAAGGTAGATAGTAAGGTTTTAGTATTGGGAACTGTTTTAGTACCGACTCATATACGTGTTTTCCTGCAATGCATGCATTGGAATGGTTTTTAAATAAGTCCCAGAGTGGAAAGGCAAAAGTTGATCATACTGCCGGCAGCCATTTTGCAAGGGGCTGCATTTTCTGTCCCTGGCAGAAGTGGAATGGACTGATGAAGGGAGCAAGGGCTTTTTTCTGTAGGTGAATTCACATGCCTTGAAGTGCACACTGTAACGTGTTTCCTCCTTGTGCCAAGATGAGACCGTGTGGCACAGAAATGACTGACGTGGTGTCAATGTTGTGGTGCTGTACTATGTCTCACTGAGGTTCAAAGAGCTTGCCAGACTTGGATGTGTGTGCAATGGCAGGGAGATAGCTGAGGGCTTAGGAAACTCAAAGCTACATCTCCTCCTGGCAGGTACTGTGCTTCTGCCACAGTTAGGACTTGACCAGCACACTTGGATCTGTGCTGACTGCTGCTGTGGTGGTGATGGGGCTGAAACTGGGATAAAAACTATAGTCATAATCCTGTGTCCCACTGAATGCTTGCTGTATGGGGGAGTAAGTCAGCTGAAGAACCAGCTCCACAAACCATCCGTGCTGCAGAAACAGGCCATGGTGTGCTATGGCTGTGTGGCTGCTGCAGTGCCCAGAAGGCACTTGTCCCGGCTGCCTTATGTAGCCTCAGCATGAGCTGGCCATGAGGATGGGTACCTTCAAGCCATAGGGTGGACACAGACCCCTGGGTCCATCTGTTGCTTTGTGTAAATTTGCAGCTACACCAGTTTTAAGCCACTAAAATCTCAACGCAGAATTTGTAAGATGTGACGTGCTTGGGCTCTGCGTTGAGCCTAAAGGCTGGTGAAAATGCTGCTAGTCTTGGCATGAGGAAAGAAGGTAACTGAAAGACTTGTCCTGTACGGCCACTAGAGGGAAGATTTGTCTCCTTATTCTGAGCTCCCACACAGCTTTCATGATCCTGTCTGCTCAGCTTTGTGAGCTCGGGGTGAGTTTTGTGCTAAAAACCCATTTAGATGCCATGGCTGCGCCTATATGGTTTATAACGTGGTGGGATGCGCTAAGTTAGACCAACAGTTCTCAGCCCACTGTCCTAGATCCTGGATGAGCTGCCCTGGGAGGGGCAAACATCCTACTGTAGGTTTCCAGGTAGCTTTACTGATTTCCACTTTTGGACCAGGTTCTTCCTGAGCTGCTTGTGTCTGTCTTAAGTAGTCCTCAAGTGGGCATGCTCGTGGAGGAGAAGTCCAAGTCGCCCTGTTGCCCCATGTAGGCTCAAGACCTCTGCAGCAAGGACTTCGCAGCTAAACTGAGTGCTGTAGGAGCCACCGCCTTCCCTCAGTGCTGTCTGTGGTCTGCCTTGGGCTGGAGGAAGACCCCAAGGCCAGGGATGTAGCAGCAGTTCCTGCTAGGAGCAGTGGAGCAAGCTTTAGCACCAGACTCCTTGTTATCAGCATCTCAAACTCCTGTCACCCCCAGGAGAACTCCTGTCACCACCTGTGTCAGCAGGAAACCCAGCGCCCATCCTGCTCCCTCGGGAGACACCCTGGATTGTGAAAGGCAGCTGTCACAGCAATCAAGGAAGTGCAGACTGAGGGATGGTGTTCCTACCCTCACTTAAAATGCTGACTCCAGTGCCTGCATTTTTCCCTGTGCCTTAGCAAATGGCAAGACTCCAGTGCCCTCTGATCCGTGGCTGAGGAAGTTCTCACTCCCTATTGCTGAGCTTGCGCAGGACTCGGTGGAGCAGGGAGTGGGAACTGGCTGTTCCTGATGCTGCATAACCGAGGTAAACTTTAATGGGCATGTCCTTGGTCTCTCTGGGAATAATCAGTGCAAACCCACTGCTCCCTTTGCTGTGTCTTGTGGTCTGCACAGGCATGCGGAGCCTTCAACCCAGCCTGGGAACAAGCATCTCCCTGGCTGATGGGGTGCAGGGCATCATGTAGCATGGGAGAGCCAGGCCTGGTGCTGGTGGGGGCTTGCAGGGGGCTCGCTGTGCCCTCCCCTCATGCAGCTGTGTCGTGCTGAGCTGTGTGAAGCTGTATCACTGTGTTGGGCTGCTTTCCATGACCACCCGTGAAGTCCAATGGAGCCATCCAGCGCTCCGGGCTTGTTTCCTTCCTTGCTTCCTTCCTACTGATAAATTCAGCCATGCACCTGCCTTCAGGAGTGGGGTCAACCCCCCCTCTTCCTTCCTCCAGGGTAGGCAAATGCCCTCTTCACAATAACACATCCCTCCTACCCCTCGGACCTTTTCCTCTCTCCCAGGTGACTCCTGCCCTCCCTCCCTGTAGCTGGGACCCTCCATCCTGGTGAGTTCTCTGCTCTGTGAGGTTTCCAAAACCTCATGCTAGGCGTTAATTCCCTATACAGGAGGTGCTGCTCACCCCTGCAGACTTGCAGGGCTGCAGCTCATACAACTTCAGCCCTTGTGCTGTTTTCTTGGCCCCTCTCCTTTGGCTCCAGACTGCTGAGGATGGGAGGACCCCTTCTCGCCTTTAAGTATTTTGGCTCCGTCTCGCCTGGATGTAAATCCTGGCCATGAATTCCCTTTGGGATCTTGGCTATGTGGCCAAGCCCTCTAAATTTTGGATTTGTGCCCATTTTTTTTTGCTTGGATTTCAGTTGAAAGTTTCCTCCTGGCTTGCTGTTAGCTGTCAGGAGTTACATCTGCTCCACAGACCTCCACACCCTGCTTACAAGGTCTGCGGATGTTTCTCCACATCCCTCGTGGAGAAGCACAGACACTGTCCTTGGGATGGAGGACCTTGGCAGGACTCAGGGTGGCTCTGATATGCAAGCAGGGAGCATCCAGCATTGGGAAACTCCCCCATGTGCTGAAAGAGACTTCATGGAGCTGCTGCTGTGACCTGAACATGCTGAAGCCGGGCACAGAGCTGGTTTGCCAGAGGCCAGGAGGAGTCTGCTGGGCCACTTGAGCCAGATCCTCATTTTAGTGGTGTTACTTCAACCTGAGACTTGCAATGACCACAAGATTCGCTCAGGAGTGGGGCAGGGTTCATGGGGAAAGGCTCTGTGTCCTTAAACCAGCCTGTGGGTCCTGGGGTGGATGTACACACAGAGCTGAGCCTGTTGTGTTACGCTAGCTGATGACTGTGAGGGGAAGCAGCCAGGCAGATGAATTTGACAGCTTGTGCTTCCCTCCATCCCCAGGAGCTGAGCTTGCTTCCAGGTTCTACTTTTTCTGTAGGTGTGAGACATCCCAGCCAACTCCTGTTGCAATAAGTGCCAAGCATGGGTGAATCCTGTTCACAGTGTATCCTCCTGTCAACTTCAGCCATGTCCCAAATGGCTTACAAGCAGGGAAGCAAGGTGCTGCTGGGGTGTGCAAACCCTGATTCCCTATGGCTCCAGCCCAAAGCAATCTGCTAGAGGCTGCTGCCTGATGCTATGGGCCCTTTGATGTCTTCTTTGCTCCTAGTAAGATGCTGCTGCAGGTGACAAAGGGATTCTATTACACCTGCACAGCACAATGCTGGCAGGAAAGGAGAGCAGATGCCTTGTAGGGCCTGGGCTGAGCTCCCTCGTGGCTGGCTGCTTGGGGAGGCTGCTGGATAATGGAGGCTGTTTGCCATAACTTTAGTTTTAGGCTGTCCCTGAACATTGTGCCTCAGGGGCAAACCCTGGCATCACCTATAGCTGAGAAGCCTCATTACAGGAGGAAGAAGTCCAGATCCTGCAGAGGTGCATCCCACTGGATGGGGTCGGAAGGTGAATCCACTGCTGCAGCAGGATCAAGATCCCCAGTTCCTGCAGGGATCAGGGAAGGGAACCCTCATCCTAAACCTTCCTGCTTCACACAACTGTATCCAGCAGCCGGATCCTCCTTCCGCCTCAGGCTGCTGCGTCTGTGGTTTCCTTTCTCACACTTCTTCTGGTCCTTCCCCCCTCACCTGCACTGTGGT